TTTATTACTCTGCAGTTCAAATACAGGATATATTCATATAATCACAGTTGTTAGGTATATCACTTAGACAACCAAAATACAATCATTCATTTGCATGCACATTATTCCTACCATCTGATAGGAAATATTGCACCAATACTTTATCATAAGAGAGCACAATATGTGGCTTTTTAATTAGTCACTCCTCATGCTCTTTCCAAACTTTATTTACGTTCGCTTTTCGATTTTTGCCCGACTCGCACTTTTTCCAAACTAATTATAGCCAGGGAAAGCTAAACCTTGTTTACTGCGAGTTCAGATTTGTTGCAGTAAAACCCTACTAACTGCGTGTTGAGATTCCAAAGGTGACCTAACCGTTCGAAAACTGCTGCTAAATGTGCTAGTGATTCGTAAATAGATGTGACTATTTTGAAGACAACTTAGTAGCCAGGCTGTTGATGCAAACCTCAATATCATTTTTAGTACAGTTTAGCAAACGGTACAAATACAGCTGCTGCTCTTGTTAACGCAAAAAGAGTCATGTTTTTTAAGTTAAAAAGGCCCCTTTGTTTAGCTCAAACAGATTGTCAAGAAATGAAAGTGGAAGGTGTAAAGAGTAAAACTGAAAATGGCGACTTCTTGAGTCGAATGTAGAGTATTTTTTAAGACAAGTTTCAAAAGAGTTTTATTACGCTATTAAATGTCGGGCATCAAGGGACTCTCGAACTCTCTCTGTCTTCTCTCTTTTAATTACTCCAATCATCAGTAAAAAATTCTACTAATATCCAACTTCACTCAATTCTGTGTAACTGTGGTTATTCTGTTAGCCTCCCATACTTTGATTCTCACTAAATGCTTCTCAGCAACTCGTGCTGCTAAAAACTCGTTTCAACCACGGAATTATTTCTCTACTCTTTTGCATATTTATATTGTCTATATTCTTCTCTTCTAAGTAAGCTCTCAAGAACGTCCTTATATATTCGCTACTGATGGGTATGAGTGGGCGTGTCAGCTGTATGACCTTGGGAAATTAAACATTTGTTGTTAAAACACTAACTCGTCAAAACATTTCACGAGACTTTCGAAATGAGCATTGAAGTACTTAGTGCTTCCGATTAACTGATCCAACCTTTGACTGAGTTAGCCAAAAGAATTAAGAAGTTTCGTCCGAAGCAGGGTCAGTAGACAAATTAAGCAGGTCTACTTACAGAAGTTAGATATCAAGACTGTCACAATTCGGAAACTCGTTACGACAGCGTACACCAAAATAACTTTGGACTTTGAATTCATATATAGCCTTCAAATTCTAATTAACAAAGAATGCGGACTAAGTCATACTGTACTGACTACCTCATCGAAACTTACTGACCAACTTAACTAAATAAAACAACTCATGATAGTTTAAACGCAGGTTCAGGCGTTGAATTTCATGTTTAATTTTTAGAAGAGGAAGTGCAAAACGTACATCTTCTTTAAGCGAGTGGGTTTATGTCTGTCACACAGATAGATAAAATGTTTCTTATTATCATTCGTGAACTTTAAAACCACTGACTACATGGGCGTGGTATATGGTAATCAATTCTATTTGAACGGAATGAAATTAAAGTGTTGCCACCTTCAAAGAAAAAAATAAGAAGAAGTTCAACAAGTAAACACTATCAAAGTATATGGTTTTTGTGATGACATCGGAGCAGAACAGAACATTACTCGGACGATTCAATGCGATTTTGATAAGTCTTTAAGAGGATCAACTGTTTCTCTGAGTCATTCTATTTTGTATTGATTTTCGGCGGTAGACACTTGATCAGATATTGGGTGATATGGGTGATGTGGGGATCTGAATACATGCATTGCATACTCGAGAAGACAGAACATATTTCCTATTTCAAAGTATTTGGTGTTTCGGGGAAATGGAATATTTAAGAGACATCCGGGGAGTTAAGTTTTCGTTTTAAATCACGTAAAAATCTNAGTAGGAATCATGATTACCCGTTAAGTACATGTTAAATTCAATTTTATACGTATGAAGCACGATCCTCGCAGTAGATAGCGCTATTTAAGCAGTAGCGAAAATCAGACCTGAAAAAAATCAGGCCTGTACGGGACTCGAACCACTGACCTCTGCGATACTAGTGCAGCGCTCTTACCAATTGAGCTAACAAGCCAACTGAGAGCAGGCCGTTAAGTTGATTCGTAATGAACCCGTGAAAGTGATAAATGAGATAGAATAAATATATGAAAATCATATATTTTGAACTGCGGTATTTGATACGTATGATGCACGATCCTCGCAGTAGATAGCGCTATTTAAGCAATAGCGAAAATCAGACCTGAAAAAAATCAGGCCTGTACGGGACTCGAACCACTGACCTCTGCGATACTAGTGCAGCGCTCTTACCAATTGAGCTAACAAGCCAACTGAGAGCAGGCCGTTAAGTTGATTCGTAATGAACCCGTGAAAGTGATAAATTTATCACTTTCACGGGTTCATTACGAATCAACTCAAAATCATATGATTTTCATATATTTATTCTATCCCATTTATCACTTTCACGGGTTCATTACGAATCAACTTAACGGCCTGCTCTCAGTTGGCTTGTTAGCTCAATTGGTAAGAGCGCTGCACTAGTATCGCAGAGGTCAGTGGTTCGAGTCCCGTACAGGCCTGATTTTTTTCAGGTCTGATTTTCGCTACTGCTTAAATAGCGCTATCTACTGCGAGGATCGTGCATCATATGGATCATCTTTAGCATGTCGTCCTCGAACCCTTTTAACTCTTCAATGGGAGGTGGGTTCTTGGTTGATTTGAAGCCGTAAGTTTCCTTAGAGGGCGAGGACGTGTCGGGGTTGAGAAAGAAGTGGGCTTTCCAGCGCATTCAGTGTAAAAACTGCTCGGTCTTTTTGATGAGTCTTTGAAGATAGTCGCTGCGTGATGGTAAAGGAATATTCTTGACTGAGTAGCTGATGTTGAATTTTTCCATCGTGAATTATCGTAGAGTGCTTGACAAGCCTGAACTTGGAGCGGGTATAAAGTGTGACTTGATTTTCGTAGAACAGTGCTCAATACATAGAAGTAGAGCGAAGACAGTGCTCAATGCATAGAAGTAGAGCGAAGACTCATTAACCCCACGAAGTCCGAGATAGGCAAAGTCAGCAAAAAGATCCTCGACCGCATCAACAGCACAATCGCGAGAAAACACAGCTTCAATCAATGGAAAAACACAACAGCCGTAATCAACTGGTTCAAATCTATCGAAAACAAACAACACTTCAGCTTCATCTGTTTTGACATTGAAGAGTTCTATCTATCCATCAGCCAAGACCTCCTGAACAAAGCACTCGACTTCGCCTCCAACTATGGCATCATTACCACCGACGAAAGAAAGATTATAATCCACGCTAAAAACTCCATCTTAATCCAAAAGCACATACCCTGGCAAAAGGGTATGTGCTTCAAGTCACACTTTAAAAATCAAGTCACACTTTAAAAATATTTTAAATTGAAAAATACAGAGGGATAGATTGTTCTTAAGCAATACCCAGATAGTTCCTTAAAACTTAATCTTTTACTAAAAGAGAATGTTTCTCTAGAGCAAATGAAGTAGAAATGGGTATTTGCTACATAAAGTGGGTACTTGCTACGTTAAATGGGTATTTGCTAAACACAGAAACTCTACCGAACTTAGCAAGCACATCTGGACCCTCAAAGACAACAACATCGATCACTTTATTTCCTGGCGCATTCTCTCATCTCAGCTCAACTAAAAGATGTAACCTCTGCCTCTAAGAAAAATTCCTAATCATCTGCCGGCCCGAACTATCAACACTAAACAAACGTAATAAACTCGTGTCTTCATGCTGCCACAGAAGCAAAGCCCTCCTACGCAACAACTAAACTGTCAATTTCGCGCTGCATAAATTAGACTAGTTAGATCATGCAAATTATATTGTATATAAGCAATGGTAAAGTTTATTCTCATTAAATCCCCTGGTGAGTGGGCGACCACGAAACTGGCTTGTAGGGATGAACTTGTAGTTTACTTGTCTTTTTCCCCCCACAATATATACTTCGCTCTACTTGTATGTTTTGAGCACTGTTCTACGAAAATCAAGTCACACTTTATATATATATATATATATATATATATA